CCTAAATAAAAAATAACAAATAGTATTTTCTATTAATTAGGCAAACACACCAAATTTAGATGAACACTATATTATGTGAATAATTTAAATAAATTCGAAAAATTATTTAGTTATATATCAAATTGTAAAGTTATTTAAAGGGAAATTAATATATGTCAAAGAAATAGATATTACCTGCGATTGAGAGAATACATAAACAAAGAACCAAGAAGAATGCGACTTTGTTAGATCCCATTTTCTTATTTGAAGTTTTTCACAAAATACAAATTATATGAGATTAGACTGGGAAGGGGACTTTGTTAGACCCCAAATATATAAGTTTAAAAGAGTTTCATGCATTATACATTTATGATAAATTTTCAAATATTTGTGGATAGTTTTCTATAAAAAATAGGTATATTCTTACTAGAAAAAAATCTAACTATCACATTCTCGCTAGTTTATTTAATTAATTGTGTACTAATATATTTCTATTATTCTTAAATATTTATATATTAATTTTGGCCAAATACTTCCATAGTTGTGTATTGAAATATGTTTCTATTATTGTTAAATATGTTTCTATTATTCTTAAGTTTTCATCGTATGTAATAATAATTTTGTTTGTATGTATACCACATAAAATATAATTTTATTCTTAAATTTATCAAAAATCTAAGAACTTACTTCATTTTTAGATTTGATAAATTTAAGAATAATAGAAACATATTTCATTTGGTACATACAAAAATTATTGTTAGATTTGATGAAAACAATTCATGGCATTAGTAGCAAAATTGTACAATGAATGTTTTTTGTTCATCTTATACTTTATATATCAAACCAGGGAAAAAAATAATACAAAACTTAATATAAAATTCTAAAACAAACTCAGAAAAATCTGTCACAATTATCAAAAAAGAAAAAGAAAACACGAATACTATCGAAGAATAGTATTTATTTTCTAAAAGGTTTGAATAGTATTTATTTGTGTTCAAACTTCAAACTAGGCTCGCGGGCTGGTTTAGCCCGGCCTTGAAAAACAGTGGATTTGGACTTTAAAATATACGTCTAGAAAAAATTGGACCTCTCGTACTAAAGAGTTTTTGGGTTAAAGTCCGGTTGGGTTCGGACCGGTCCAAAAATTCTTTAAAAACATATTTTGATTTTTTTTTGTTAATATTTTCGTTTAATTGGAAGATTTGTTTAAAGATTTTTTTTTAATAGAGTTAAAAATCCAAAACCCAGTTTTCTAATTATGCCTTACTATAAATCTAAAAAAAGAAAATCTTGGCTCTACTACATAGTTCGAAGTTTTCTGATTTTATATTTTATTTGGTATGAGTTTAAACAATTTATTTAGATTATTTTTTGATTTTAGACTTTGTTTTAGAACTAAACTGGCTTTAGTAGTTATTTAAATTTGATTGACTCGTTTTGTACATAGATTTTTTTAAAGAAATATTATTAATTATAAATATATTTATTTTTTGTAAGAAAAACCCAAAAAGTTCTCGGAAAAGCTTTGTAGCCCTAACGGACTTTAAAATGTAGATTCGAAAATTTTATGTACCGGACCAAACCGAACTCAAATATATGCGGATTTGTAGACTTTGGGCCGGGCTAATCTAATTGACATGTCTAGTTCAAACTCTAAACTATGATGACAAAGCACAAGGTCCATCAAATATAAAAATCAACAACGAATGCCAAAGTCCATTAACAAAAAGCATTTGGCCTATCAACACATAACACGATTAGAAAAATAATGACAATCTAAAAAAATAGATAAACGGAGCCAACTATATCTTGCTCAAAAGTCGGAATCATTCATAGGCATGAAAAGTTGCAACAATATACAATTGATTTAATGGAGTTATGGAGTCAACCAATTCCCCTAACTACAGGTTAACCAATTATTTTTATATGTCGCAAATTATGGGCGCTTAGATCATTAGATTTGTAGTTATTTTGTGTTCCATATTTTTTATTAGTTATTCTTAATATTATTATAAGAAATTGACAAGAACATGTATCCGAGAGAATAGATACATGTTTAAATGTGAGTAGCAGTTTAAATCAATGAGATGTTAATTTGTTTATCCTACATAACATTCACACACATAATGATTTTTGTAGCCTTGACAAGAACCCCCGAGAAAACCTTGTTCATTACAGTAAATATAACATTTCGCGTTTTTGTCTACACCGTTTGGATCTTCGCATTTTCTTCCTGTTGGGTTTTGTGCTTCTCCATAATCTAGAAGTAAATGTTAAATAGAAAATTAATGGTTTTATTTCCTAAACCAAAAGAAATAAGGAATTATATTTTCTATAGAACACATAAACTTTGGATGTATAATACGAAGAATATATGATATTGTAAAGTTCTTTAGAGGGAAATATATGTCAAGCAAATTAATTACCTGCGGTTGAGAGCACACATAGAAAAAGAATCAAGAAGAATGAGACTTTGTTAGATGCCATTTTCTTATTTGAAGTTTGTTTTCTTACAAATATATGAATATAATCAAGAAGGAGACTTTGTTAGACCCCATATATATAAGTTAGAAGAGTTTATTGAATTTGACCGTTTTAATACATTTCTAAAAATGACATTTTTGGTAATACTTGACCAAAAATGTCATTTTTAGATATATTTCTATTTGGTCAAATATTACCATAATTTTTACATAGCATAAAGAGAAATGGGAAACTATTGTCCTGTCATGTTTGACTATTTAAAGCACGAACCATTAGTTAGTCCAGTACATCTCTATTTCTTAAAGACATTGTATCTTTAATTGTGAGGTTGTTCCATATTGTTCTTTGACTAGGCTTCTCAACACACAAGACACAACAAAGTCTTTACTTTGTTATCGAAAACTAGTTTTACCATTTTAGCAACCCATATACAATATTGATTAAACTAAGCAGTGGTGGAGTTGGGAATATTTTTACCGGGGCAGAAAAAATATACTAAAGAAAAGTCTATAAGCTGCCAATAAAATATTATAATTGTATTCACGTTTACTCATATAGCTTAAAACTTTTATTTTATCAGTTTTATTTTGTTACATCTTCAAATAAGTTTTTTCTTAAAACAAATTAAACTACGCAGTCATTTAGAAACTCATCACCGATGCGATTTCGTAGTGTCATCTCAACAATTTTCATCTCGAAAAGACATCTCATAGATAACAAAACTAAAAAGAAAAAGTAAACTAAATAAAACACTAACAAAAACTTACAGTGTAAATATAAAATCTATAATTTATGTGAATTTAAGTCATAAAGTCTCTAGTTTAACAAAATTCTAGAATATAATAAGACTACCAACTGATTACTTACACAAAAGTATGATACATGTTTTCTTACACAAAGGCTACGTACTAATTACTTACACAAAATTAACAGCTTAGAATTTTTATATCACAAGCAAAACTATAACTACATAACGTCCAAGCTTATGAAAATACCCTTATATCACAACATAAATGTGCCGCCACCGGCACCAGCTAACTTCATCCGTCCCGGGAAACGACCTTTGTCCTCTATGACACCCACCATTGTACTGAAGGTAAGCGAAAAAAAACCTATTACTAGTGACACACGAAACTCCTAATTGGCTCCAAATGGTGGTATTTTATACGCTGGTTTACGCAGGATGGTAAAGTGAAAGCCGCGGTAGGTGCGAGTGGAGGAGTAAATATCATCACCGCGTCTTTGGAAGTTTATTTAAATTATTTTTTCTTCAAGATGGATCCCCTTTCTTCCGTCTTGGCTTCAATAGTCTACCATCAGGTATTTTGCTTCTTTTTTTCTTCTGCCCAAACTAGAAACTTTCTTGTTCTCCAAGAACCTACAAATTGCTTTTTGTAATTTCATTTTCAGCTGATACCAAACATAGTTTCGTATGAAAATTGGACAACAATTCAGTGATCATTTCGAGATTCCGAAATAGATAATAAAATCATATTTCATTTGGTACATACAAAAACTTCTTGTTGGATTTGATGAAAATAATTCATGCCATTAGTTGTAAAATCGCACAATAAACTTTGTGTGTGTAAACCATGATTACTCATAAGTACAAGGCCCATCAAATATGAAAATTAACAATGAAATACCAAAGTCCATTAACAAAAGTTTACGGTCCATCAACACGGTTAGAAAATAACAACAATCGAAAAATAGGTAAATAGAGGCCAAATCTTTGTTGGTCAAAATTTCACCAACCTTTCTTAAGCTGCACCAAATCTTAACCCTATTGGTAGCATTCATTAAGCAGCACCAACCTTTGTTTAGTATTCCCTCAGAAAAAGAAAAAGAGAGTAGCTAGCGTTTAATGAAAATAGACAGGTGAACTTCGATCAACCCTAGTTCATAAATGTGACGCTTTTCTCTCTTTCTTAGCTCTTTTTTAGTAGACTAGGTGACGATATTCATAACTGACATCTGTTGGTTTAGTTGGTTAATTAAGGACTCCGGTTTATTATTATTATGGACCAACACAAGTTAACATAAACTTCTTGGCCACACAGTCCTCGTCTGAACAACACTATTTTCCCCAAGGACGAAAGAGAACGAGACCTTTAAGAAAAAAAGACGTCCCATGAATTGTAAGTCTTTTTGTTTCAATTTTATTTTCTTAATTCATGTAAAAAAAATCGTTAACGATTATTCAGTCAGTGTTGTTGGTTTATTTTTTGAGCCATTTGATCGATAAAAGCTTTTACTACATTTTTTTTTTTTTTTTTTTGTTGAAGAGCTTTTACAACAGTTCACTCAGTGAGATATTTCTGAAACACACATATTCAGAACTCAGACTAAGTAAATCCTTGGGGGTGGCTTTGGCTTAAAACACAAGAAATATAAAGTCTCGTTTTTTTTTTTTTGGGGGGAATCGAATCAAAGTTTTGAGATTTTTTAATATGGTCAAGACATAAAAAATAAAGAAACTCTTTGGTAGGTTTTGAGCATAATAATATAAAACGTTTCAATATTTATTTGAGAATACTTAAAACTTATTGTCAAACGAATCTGTTAACTATTAAACGATAAAGATAATTTTTTGTTTATCCTCTGTAACTAATCTCTGTTTTGATTTTTTTCATTTAACCAGTCAGAACAATGTTACTGGTTCGAACAGCGACGGTCGCTCTTCTTGTAATCGCGTTTCTTGAAAACGCTGCGGCTCAGAAAAGACAGCAAAGTATTGTTAAGTATCACGGTGCGGTTGCTACAGACGATGGACGGTGTTCTAAAATCGGGTTGAGAGTTCTACGTCAAGGAGGAAACGCGGTTGATGCTGCAGTCGCTGCTGCTCTCTGTTTGGGCGTTGTAAGTCCAGCTTCTAGCGGTATAGGCGGTGGAGCCTTTATGCTGGTCAAGATAGCTGGAAAGGAGGTAGCCTATGATTCCAGAGAAACCGCTCCGATCCTCGCAAGTGAGGTAACTCAATCGTGAGCTCAAAACATGAATTTTAAACAAAACAGAACATATTTCCGCGTAAATAAGCGTTTTAAATGCGTTGCTCATTAAGTAGTTGTTTTGAACGCGGTCTTGTGCTCAAATAGCGTTTCTTAACTCTTACTCCGATCGCTTAAATAAGTTATTTGAACCAAAGATAGTTCTTAATTGTTCCTTATGGCGTTGACAAACATTTCTTTCCTCTGATTTAATATGGCATGTTCTTGAGCTTATAGTGTTTTTTATAGCGTTTATGAATCACTGACACTCTTTTGGTTGTTTTTCTTGTTGTAGAATATGTATGATGGTAATGTCAAGATTAAGAGTCAAGGAGCCTTATCAGTAGGCGTCCCTGGGGAAGTAGCGGGTCTATTTGCTGCTTGGAAACAGCACGGGAAGCTACCGTGGAAGCAACTAGTGTTCCCTGCAGAGAAACTTGCAGCTCAAGGGTTCAGGATTTCAAAGTATCTTTATATGCAGATGAACGCGACCAGGGTTAGTATCTTAGCAGATAAAGGCCTCTCGAAGCTATTAGTGTCACATGGAGAGCTCAAGAAACCAGGCACAATTTGCCGTAACCAAAAATTGGCCTTAACGCTGAGGCAAATTGCAGAGTATGGTCCAAAAGCATTTTACAATGGCACTGTTGGGGTTGACCTTGTGGGAGATATCCTTAAATCCGGAGGAATAATAACTTTGAAAGATCTGCAAAGCTATAGAGTTAAGGTTAAAAAACCGTTGTCAGTAGACATTCTCGGATACCGACTACTAGGTATGCCTCCTCCTTCATCCGGTGGTGCTGCAATGATGCTTGTAAGTTTGGTTTTCTTACGTGAAGATATCACATTTTATGAAACCCTAGGTTTACTTGAGTTTTTTAAGGGAGTTTCTTGTGTTGCAGGTTTTGAACATTCTTTCTCAATATGGGATTCCATCAGGTGTTTCGGGCTCTCTGGGGGTTCATCGACTTGTGGAGGCTCTGAAACACGCTTTTGCAGTTAGAATGAACCTTGGGGATCCGGATTTTGTCGATGTCTCTAAGGTTATTTCTGATATGTTGTCTACAAAGTTTGCACAAGGCTTGAAGAAAAAGATAAACGACAACAAAACCTTTGATCCAAAATATTACGGTGGCAGGTAAGTTTTTGGATTTGTAAAAACCCGCAGATTTTCTTCTTCAACTCGTGATTTATCGGTCTTTCGTTATCAAATTCGTAGGTGGAATCAGATCGACGACCACGGGACAAGCCATTTATCGATCATAGATCGCGAGAGGAATGCTGTTTCGATGACTAGTACTATAAACGATTACTTTGGGGCAGTGATGCTATCTCCGAGCACCGGAATTGTTCTGAACAACGAAATGGATGATTTCTCTATCCCGATGAAATCCAAAGGTAACCTAAATGTGCCACCACCGGCACCGGCTAACTTCATCCGTCCCGGAAAACGACCTTTGTCTTCTATGACACCCACCATTGTACTCAAGGTTACGGAAAAAAACTTATTACTTGTAACTATTAATTGGCTCAAGATGGTGGTTTCTTATATGCTTGTTTACGCAGGATGGTAAAGTGAAAGCCGCCGTAGGAGCGAGCGGAGGAGTAAACATCATCGCCGGGACAATGGAAGTTTATTTGAATTATTTTTTCCTCAACATGGATCCTCTTTCTTCCGTCTTGGCTCCAAGAATCTACCATCAGGTATTTTGCTTTTTTTTCTACTGCCCAAAACTAGACACTTTCTTGTTCTCCAAGACCCTAAAAATTGCTTCTTGTAATTTCACTTTCAGCTGATACCAAACATAGTTTCGTATGAAAATTGGACAACAGTGTTCAATGATCATTTCGAGGTTCCGAAAGAGACAAGAGTTGTCTTGGAGAAGAAAGGTCATGTCCTAACGCCGATCCCTGGAGGGACAATTGTTCAGTTCATAGTTCAAGAATCCGGCGCAAATTCCAGTGGAATTAGTGAGCTTGTGGCGGTAAGTGATCCAAGAAAAGGGGGGTTCCCTTCAGGATATTGAGATTAAACGTCAAAGTTTACAATTAGTGTCGTATACGTACTATCTTTTGATTTCATCTAAATTGCTGGAACGTTACATGTTATGAGAGACTCGCTTCTTTTAAGCTTTAAATGCCAAATTCTCCAATCAAATTTTATCATTTTAACTGCCCTTAAAATTTCATGAAATTTCTCAAAGTTCAACTCTTTCATTTTGTTCCTACGATGGTTAAATTTTCTTAAAGCCAACATAATGTTCTTTTCTTTTGAGCCACAATCTATTTTTTTTTAAAGTCACTAATTTAACATAAACTCTACTTTAAAAGTCTCAACCAATCACCCCTATTGTAAATTATAGGCTCAAACTGATACCCTTAAATCAATACATTTGTATAGGCACTTATTTTTTTTTTTGGGATCAAATAGCCTCATTTATTTATTCTTAACATTATGATAAGAAATTAACAAGAACAAGTATGTGAGACAAGAGAATCATGTTTAAATATGAGGGAAATTTAAAATCATTGAGATTTTTGTTTATCCTTCATAGCACTCACACAGATAATGGTGGGTATGGCCTTGGCAAGAACCACCGAGAAAACCTTGTCCATGACAGTAAGAAATACACACCCCGTTTGAGTCCAAGCCGTCTATGCATTTTATTCCCGTCTGTTTTTGTGCTTCTCCAAACTCTATTAATTTATTTAAAAAGAATATTAACGGTATGAACCAAAAAAAATAAGAAATGATATTTTCTATGAATCATGCGAACACATCGACTTTGGATTATAATGTAAAAACATATTAATGATTCTGAATTAAAAAAACAAATAAATTCGAAGAGTAAAATAATTATCCATCATATTGTGAAGTTCTCAAAATTCTCTTTATCTTTAATTTTTCGTTGTGCAAATGTAAAAGCGGATAATCTGGCATGAAAAGTTCATACAAAACCGCTTCATATCACGTATGTAAACAAAATTCCTCAAGAATAGCTCTTTTGAGCTATAATTAATTTCGGATGACAAAAAAAAACATATTGTGAAGTTATTTTAAGGGAAATATATGTAAAATATATGTCAAAGAAATTGATCACCTGCGGTTGAGAGAACACATAGGCAAAGAATAAAGAAGAATGCGACTTTGTTAGATGCCATTTTCTTATTTGAAGTTTTTTTTTCTTTCTAGCAAATATGTGAATTTTACTAGACTTTGTTAGACCCAAAATATATAGTTTATTGGATCATACAGTTCTAATACATTTCAATTTCTTGGTATTTTCTAGAAAATATGGATATATTTACAGCAAATAGAAAGATATCTAAAAATGAAATTTTCGGCCATATATTATCACAATTCTTACATAGTATAAAGCGGAATGGGAAACTATTGTCCTGTCATGTTTGACTATTTAAAGTATATCTGTATTTTTCTTAAAGAGGGGCATACATTGAATCTTTGATTGTAATTTTTTTCTATATTGTCATTTGACTAGCAAGCCATTAGCCATACACATTAAATCAGGCACACATATGTATATTAGGTGAATTTCTCTGTGATGTTTAGTTTTTTTTTTTTTAGTTGCACAAATCATATTTTTCTAATGTAGCCAAAACACTTAATCTGGTGTGAATCTCTCAAAAAGTTGTCATAACATAATTTTTTGTCATTAATAATTTAAAAATCAAATATTAAAAATAGTTGATGAGTTGGCATTATATATGGAAAAACTCATTCTGAATCTACAAAAATATCATTGGGATCGGATATACTTTAGCATTTCATCTTCCTTTTTTGGTACCGACAAAAAAAAAGTCTAATTTTTTTTGTTAAATTTAGAATCATAAAAACATATTTCTTCTAGTTATAAGTTATAACATACAAAAAAGTATTGTTGGATTTTATGAAAACAATTCATGGCATTATTGAAAAATCGTGAATTTATGTGTGTTCAAACAATTATCACTCAGAGGTACAAGGCCAATCAAATATAAAAGTTAAAAACAAAAATTGCAATGTCCATTAACAAAAACGCATACGGCCCCGTCCATCAACACATAAACACATAACACGGTTTGAAAAATAACAGCAATCGAAAAAAAATAGATAAATGGAGCCAACTCTTTTCTTGGTCAAAGTCGGAATCATTCATCAAGCTGCACCAAACCATATAAGATGGTGAAAATGTGGAAGAATAATAGTGGATTTGAAACAAAGATATTTTGTGGTTTAATTTGTCCGCATCGTTTTAATAATTTAAGATTCAAACCGGTCCGGATTGGTCGCGTTTCGAACGATCTTATAAGCCGATCGGATCTGTTTTTGAAAGAACACTTGTGAGATAATAGTAATGCTACATTAAATAACAAAAATTTGACTTAGGCATGATCATAGACGAATTGAATTATGCGATAGATTCTGGAGCACGATGTAGATATCATTGCCTAAGTCTATAATGTCATTATTGTGTGATATTTTATAAAAATAATTTTCGCATATTACTCCAGTTTATAAATATTTCAAGTTTTCATCTATCTAGATAATTATAAAACCACTAGATTGTAAATTTGTAATGACATCATATATATGGTAGACTAATAACTTCTCACCTTATCATTGGCCGATTTTAAGAGCATCCACATTAGTTATTGTTAAAATCCTTCTATGTTCGGTGTTCGGAGTATAACTGTATAAGTTTAAGGTTAAATTTAAATGTTTAATCTAAGAAGTATACTTTAGTTGAAATAGCATAGTTTCAGAAGAATGTTAAATGTTAAAATCCTAATATGTTTGTATTAGTGATTTAGCTGCATATGAATTATATATGATTGAGAAAGTGTAGCGAAAACATTATAACAATGAAATAATTAATTCCATAGACAAGTGATTAATTCCAGTTTAAGACGAGAAATGACAAAAACGTTTATTTTTAGAGTAAAAGTTCAAAATAAAAGTTTGTGTGGGGCTAAACCACAATGACCCAACTATATATATAAGAACTATTAGTCCCAAACGTGTAAATATTTGGAATTCTGATCGTCTCAGTTTTAGTTGATAATCTTTCTTTTTATTGGTTAACACATTAAAAGAAGCAAATGGAGTTTCTAAAGAAGTCCGACGATGATGTAAGCCATTTGGATTGTGGAAGATGAATTTTAGGAGTCGAACAAGAGAAACCAGAGTTGCATGATAGCTTGCAAAGATGCAATAATTGTATTCTATGATTGAAAAAATGCTCTATTTCTAATGATCTCATCGATGCGTGTGACGATAGAATCAAGAGAACGATTTGCGGGTGAAGGCGTCTATTCCTCTCTCTCTCGACTTTTTTTTTTTTTTTTTTGGTTCAAACTCTCTCTCGACTATGTCTGAATCTTCCTCGAAAAATAGTTAGCATGAGAACCGTAATAAACTATAATTTTATATAATTAATTACAATATAATGTACTCCATATTTTATGGTCAAAAGCTCTCTTTGATATACTGTATATCATATACACCAAAAATATGAAAAGTTATTCGATTAATTATACAACTAATATAAAATGACCATTCGTTGTTTGTATTATCATTCAAAAGAGCAGCCTTTCTAATAAGAGTAATACACTTCAATAACCCCTTAATTTATGTTTCCAAAATAGAAGGTTTTTGCATTATGTAGTTATCAATTTAACATTTCATATAACTTTCATTATGAAGTTCTAACATTTTATAACATTATGAAACTAATGCGGTGTCTATTAATTAGTACTAACATAAAATTAGTCAACTCTGCCACCTAGTCAACGTAATTAAGTAGCTGCATATCGATGACATGTCACCTTTTCATTGGACGGGAGAACACAATGCGTTGTACGGCTGAAAGTTTCTTTTACAAAATGCACTCAATTCGTGCGTCCATTAGTGATTAATGCTGGATAAAATAGATGCTTTGTTCAATTTGAATTTTTTTTTTAGTTAAGAACTAGTATGATCCGGTACATACGAAAGTAAGAACTTGTTTTAGTTGCCTAATTGTGAACTATATGCTTTAATTATGATGCAAATTAAAATAAAACATATTGAAGTATTCTAAAGTATTGTTCAGACCAGATCCATCTGGATTGCAATACAATTTGATATTATTTATATGATAGGCATTATCTTATGATATAATGCTGAGTCGTCTGTTTGGGATTATTGAAGAATAGAGACGAAGCTGGTAACATGGTGGTGGTGATTACCATTATAAACAATATTTTTAGTCTGTATATCTTCTTATTAAAATGCAAAGTCAAAGTCTGTTGGCTTTAATTGGGTCCCTATAAAAACCTACTTAGGCCAGAAAAAGAGACAATTATTTTAATTTTGTTACAAAGAAGAAAAACAAAAAAGAGCAGATCCAATTGATCTCAAGATCGCATCTGAATCATAATATATATCATGATCAAAGAGGAGACCATTTCATGCTTCAATCCTTTAGTTATGGAAGAATCTGACAAGGTAAAACTAAAAAAACCATTTCTTGAGTGTTTAAACCACAAATTTCTCTAACTGTTGTTTTCAATCTCCTTCTGGTGTTTCAATCGGTGGAATCAATCACATGTTCATATGATTCTGTTTTTGCATATATATTTACATATAGTTACCAAATAATTCTTATGTGTCTGAAATTAATACAGATTTACTGCATCTAATAAAAGTCAACTTGCTTGTTCGGAAATGGTCTCGAGTATGAAAGTTCATTATTTTGTACGCATGTTTTGCATAAACATACACCACAAACAAAAATTACATGCTTTTGATTATTTTGGGACGGTTATTTAATGCTCAAGGATACCAAGATTTATTCCGATATTTAAATTTTTCGAATGGAAACATGTAATTAAGATCCGCTCTAGCCTCTAATTAACATAGGTCGAATACAATTTTTTTTATTTTTTTTGTTCTTTTTTGGAAATAGTTTTCAACCAGCAATAGACGCGCCTCGGTTAGAACCTCATTAGCTGCGTCATTGCCCCAAGCGCAAAGATTATTTTTTTTGTTCTTGGCATTCGTTCTCTGTTCATTCCTATAATACTCATTCACTTTTGTCAGTTTGTGTGTGGTTATTGAAAACTATATGTCGTAAAGTTTAGAAATAGTTGGTACAAAAAAATTATTATTTGATATATGTAAACACTATTGTATGGAAGGTGAATATAAATGTGTCTTGGATATTTACAGGAAGAGGAGCTTGATGCAACAAAAGCAAAGGTGGAGAAAGTTAGGGAAGAAAATGAGAAATTAAAGCTCTTACTCTCTACCATTCTTAATAATTACAACTCTCTTCAAATGCATGTCTCTAACGTTCTCCGACAACAACAAAGAGCTTCTATGGAGCTAGATCAAGACAAAGATAACGATTTTGATGTAGATATATCACTTAGGCTTGGAAGATCAGAGCAAAAGATCTCTAAAAAGGAGGAAAAGGTGGACAAGATTTCTAATGAGAACAAAGAGGAGTCAAAAGATAAAAGATTTGCACTCGGTTTAGGATTTCAGATTCAAAGTTATGAAGCCTCGAAATTAGATGATCTTTGTAGACAGGTTAAGAATGTGAACGCAGAGAATAAATGTTTATCTTCGAGGAAAGATGTCAAAACAGTTAGAAATGAAAATCATCATCAAGATGTTTTGGAAGAGCATGAGCAAGCAGGTTTGAAGAAAACTAGGGTTTGTGTTAAAGCATCATGTGAAGACCCATCAGTACGTACCACCAAAACCATACATTACATATATATGTTTAATTATTTTTAGCATGTAACATCTCTAATTAATTGATCATAATGGGATATGTTCATGAATGTATAGATAAACGACGGTTGTCAGTGGAGGAAATATGGTCAAAAGACTGCGAAAACCAATCCTCTTCCACGAGCCTATTACCGTTGCTCCATGTCGTCAAATTGTCCCGTTAGAAAACAGGTATAATACATTCTATAATTTCTCAATCCAAATATCTATTCATTGTCAATTGGTTTTGAGTAAAATCTTATAAAACGAATGTTTATAGGTGCAAAGATGCGGAGAAGAAGAAACATCCGCTTTTATGACAACATACGAAGGAAACCATGACCATCCTCTTCCCATGGAAGCAACCCACATGGCAGCTGGAACTTCCGCGGCTGCCTCCTTATTACAATCTGGCTCCTCCTCCTCCTCCTCCTCCACCTCCGCGAGTCTAAGCTATTTCTTCCCTTTTCACCACTTCTCTATCTCCACAACTAACTCCCACCCGACCGTAACATTGGACCTCACACGACCAAACTATCCCAATCAGTTACCAGACGACTATCCTCTATCGTCCTCCTCTTTCAGTCTCAACTTCTCCTCTCCTGATCCTCCACCTCCATCGTCGCACGATAACACCTTGAACTTTAGTGGCTTGCGAACACAAGCTCCTTTGAGTACAGATTCCTTATTGGCCCGTTATCGAACGAGACTTTCCGGACAGCAGTAAGTAACTGTATTGGTCGGTATAGCTAGACACAAGTCTGGAAAGTAATTGATTTCTGTTTTCTTTGTCATTCATTTGTTTTTCACCCTCTGAAAGAGAGATCTGGTTTTGGCATGATGCAAACTGCATTTATACTTGTAGATATCCAAATGTTTAAATTAGTGGATTACCTATCATATCATGGATTATATGCATATGAAGGTTTTGTAAATTAATTCTGTTCTACACAACAATTTGATACAAAAAATGTATTTAATGTAATTTATAATACAATGTTAAATATATTTTTTTGGTGAATTAGGTAATTATGACTATGATATCACATTAAGGGAAGGTGGCTTTCATGCAGGTTGACAAAACCTCCTTTTTCACTTTTGCAAAATTATGTGATTTTACAAAATAAACTTATCACATAATGTTGTGTTATTTGACAAAATATCAATCATGTATCATAAGCGATTTTATAAAAGAGCGTAAAATTTGGTGAAATTAATAACATGACATTTGGTAAAATAATGTAGTATTTGGCGAAACAATGAGCATGCATGAAAAATATGTAAGTCAACGTATTTTTATTTTTATTTTAAATCACATACGAAACATTTACTAATTTGATTTTTTTTTTTTTTTTTGCTAAAACATTTACTAATTTGATGGTCAAACTGTAATCACCATCAAAATTATTTACATAAAAAGAATGGATTATCGTCATTTTCTCAATTATAACTTTTTGAGTCATTTGACCGAAATGAAGATATCTGAATTGTTTTAGCCACCTGTAAATGTTTAGATGGTCGATTCTTAAAAAGGAAAAAACAAATGACCAATACAAAAAGAATGTATGAAACATATTATGATCAATCAAATATTAAAAACCTTTAGTTCAAAATGGGCTCAGGCCCATTATTACAGTACTCTCTCTTAGAATTCGGCCCATCCACGTCAGAGGCTCCGATTGTAGCGCTGTTAAAACTCTTTGACACACGACCACTTATTATAACGCCACGTGTCATTGCACTTCATCAGATCGCGCGTAACCGCCAGAAAACCGAAACCAAAGGTTCCATCACGTCGCTTATCCGACCACGAGACACACCCACTGTTCTAAATTCTCTCTCTCTGTTTTTTTCTTCAAAAAGCTTTTTTTTTTCTGGGTCTCATGACTCATCGTTTCCAATCTGAAATCATCGTAAGATATCTGTGAGACTATTCAATTGAATCGGTATCAAGATATGGCGGGAAGTGAAGCGGTAGAAGATAAAGAGATAAAATCGGCGGTTTCAAGCTGTGAGGCGTATTTCGAGAAAGTACAGTCAAGGAAGAATCTTCCCAAATCTCTTCAAGAAACCCTAAACTCTGCTTTCGCCGGAATCCCCGTCTCCTCCTTCCCTCAAGTCCCCGGCGGCAGAGGTAAAAATATAAAGATCCCATTTTTCGATTTCTCCAATGCTTTAGATTCAATTTGTTTTTTTTTTTGTAGTGATAGAGATTCCAGCGGAAACACCTGTATCAGAAGCAGTAAAGATCTTATCAGACAGCAAGATTCTATCAGCTCCTGTGATTAACACAGATCACGAGAGTTCCTTAGATTGGAGAGAAAGATATTTAGGAATCATTGATTACTCTTCAATCATCTTATGGGTGTTAGAGAGTGCTGAACTTGCTGCAATAGCGTTGTCCGCTACGTCAGCAACCGCTGCTGGTGTTGGTGCTGGAGCTGTTGGAGCTCTTGGTGTTGCAGCGCTTGGGGTGACCGGTCCGGTTGCTGTTGCAGGGCTAGCAGCGGCTGCGGTTGGAGCCGCGGTTGCTGGTGGTGTTGCAGCTGACCGTGGGATTGGGAAAGATGCTCCAACTGCTGCTGATAATTTAGGGAAAGATTTCTATCAAGTCATTCTTCAAGAAGAGCCTTTCAAATCAACCACTGTAAGTTTTTAACAGAATGTAACGTATTTGTGTTGTGATGGTCCTGATTGATGATGGATATGTTTATGTTGTCAGGTTAGAACAATACTTAAGTCGTTTAGATGGGCTCCTTTTCTTCCGGTTTCTACAGAGAGTTCGATGTTGAGTGTTATGTTGTTACTCTCGAAATACCGGTTAAGGAATGTGCCGGTTATTAAATCAGGAGAACCTGATATCAAGAACTACGTTACTCAATCTGCAGTTGTTCATGGTCTTGAAGGCTGCAAAGGTAGAGATTGGTTTGATCACATTTCTGCTCTCTCGATTTCTGATCTCGGCCTCCCTTTCATGTCGCCTAACGAGGTAAGAAAATACAATCTTAAGAACTCGCGACATTAGGCTCGTATACCGGTGCAATTTGAACATGTTGGCTTCAGGTTATTAGCATTGAGAGTGAAGAACTTATTCTTGAAGCATTCAAGCGGATGAGAGACAACAACATTGGTGGTTTACCTGTAATCGAAGGGCCGAATAAGAAGATTGTTGGTAACATTAGCATGAGAGACATTAGATATTTGCTTTTACAACCTGAAGTCTTCTCCAATTTCAGGTCTGTTTTACTCACTTGTTTCTCATTACAACTTCTGGTAACAATGACTTAAATTTCTCTTTGTTGATGATAAAGACAACTCACGGTGAAGAGTTTCGCGACAAAGATTGCTACCGCAGGAGAGGAATATGGTTTAGCGATTCCTGCAATAACTTGTAGGCCTGATTCGACTTTAGGGAGTGTTATAAACAGTTTGGCTTCGAGGTCGGTGCATCGGGTTTATGTAGCTGCTGGAGATGAGAATGAGCTTTATGGGGTTATAACACTGAGGGATGTGATCTCTTGTTTCGTATCAGAACCTCCAAACTACTTTGAGAACTGTCTCGGGTTCTCGGTTAAAGAAATGCTAAACCGATGATCTCTTGTTTCTCAGCTTTTTTTTTGTTTGTCTTTGTTGTTTGTTCCTTCTTGGTTTAGATTCTGAAGTTGTTATCTTTATATCTAATTTGTAAACATTTTGAGTTTCAAGTTATATCGTTTATGATTTATGTTTATAAATGCTTATGAAGTTTGAAATTTGCCTATACATACATAAATCAAAACAAACCAATGAATGCAACAACTTATGAAGATGGAAGTATTTGTCTTGATATCTTAATTCTCTTGCTTTGATGTAATTCTTTCGTTGTATACCGTCGCTGTTACTTGATCTTTTAGTGACTACCGTTGTCTTGTTCAGTCTATGCAGATGGAAGTATTTGTCTTGACATCTTACAGAACCAATGGAGTCCTATTTATGATGTTGCAGCAATTCTTACATCTATCCAGGTATTGTTCATCTTTTTGATTATCCATCTCAATGTAAAAACCACTTGATCATAACCAGTTTTACTGTTTTTGTTAACAATTTGCAGTCACTCCTCTGTGATCCCAACCCAAACTCACCTGCAAACTCAGAAGCTGCCCGCTTATTCAGCGAGAACAAGCGAGAATACAACAGACGAGTTGAGGAGATTGTGGAACAGAGTTGGACCGCTGATTACTAAGCTATATCGGTAATCGAATCTTCTGCGCTCAGATTTTATAACATTTTAAGAAGTGGAGGTGATCAAACTGGTAAAACGAGCGACATTTATCAGTTTTCAAAGTTTGTTGTTTCATGCCTTCAATTCAATATATATGTACTGTAATGGTTTGATAAATCTCAAATATTTTCTGGATTGTTCAATTTGTATATGTGTTTGTAAGTCTCTCCAATTCAATATAGAATATATGGATTCTATAGTTGAGTAGATTCGATTTATAAGGAGGCCAAATGTTAAAAGTCAAATCGAGGAGTTTTAATCAGCGGGTGATTAAGATGAACAGAACAAATTATATAGTGTTCTGTCTCAAGATCTTAGTTAGGTTCTTAAATCGTAAGTTTTTTCACAATCGTTTTTGCAAAAACTCAGATAAAGTTGATATTGTTTTAGATGATTCTTACTTCTAAATGGTTTATTAATTGGATTGGTTTTTGTTATGCAATCATGGTGTTGTATTGTTAATTTGTAATTCAATCACCGGTTCTATTAACTACATAGTGAACTATATATATAACTAGTTAAACTCCAATGAAACATTATTAGTTGCTAACTAAAAAATGAAATGACTCATTCATGTAACAATCACATTACTTTTCGTGTACATGAAAAAGCTCATAACTCACCAGACAGTTGAAAAAACCGCGCGCTCAAACCTTTGGGTGCCAAGATGTCACCTAGAGTCCCCCCAAACACTTCAGTGTTCATCAGATTGATTTATCGGTCGAGAGATCTTAGAACACAAAGTATGAACAATGAAGCGTTTAAGGGAACTCAAGGGGACATTTGACTTGACATGTTATATATGTCTCTTTGCTAATGCTTCTTCTCTTATTCACTCACGTTCTTAGTGAACACCCAAACTGCATATTTATATGTATGCTTCTCCTTACTATAATTTTGTAGAGGAATTTTTCGGGGAGGGACCGTATACGTAGATTACATATTCTCCATTGAATAGCAAAACATGCGGTAAATATAAATGAAGATGAACCAAGTCGGAATTTTGGGAATAAGGAGCCAAGGAGAATATTATTATCGCCATTAGTGTGCTACAGAAGCACATTCTTCACAAGATCTTTCTTTCCTCCGGTAGATCTTATTCTATTCTCTTTTTATGCGTAAGCAAAGAATATGTCAAGGGACTTATAAAAACCAATGTAAAAATAATGAAAGTAACAAATGTAAAAAATCTAAGAGAAGTATTTCATGAATTTCACAATATTCTTCCTATTTCATTTTAGTGTTGCTTTCTAATCGTGTATAGAAACGTATCTTACAAAAAGCTGAAAGGTAAAAGGATTTATGCACTTTTCTTGAAAAAAAAAAGTGATTCCCTCACGTACACTTAAAGCCCTTAACCTGAATTCACGTCTACATTCACAATGCTTCCAATTGTATATATGAAACACCAATATCTCCATTCTCTTTCAAACCCTAACACCCTTGTAAACTCAATTTGGCCATTCCACCGAAATGTAATGTTCACTACATAAGAAACAAATATCGTTTTGGTCGGATGTTCCCTAGAGTTCCTCTGAGCACTTCATTGGAGATACCATTGTCTATGAAATAGTATTCTACTGAAGTGTTTGGGGGAACTCCTGGATTCATTCGATAATTTTAATTCACTAGACTAAGTTTGATTTGGTGTTACATACTGTTTGTTCGATATATAAGGTAAGAGATGAAGAAATATAGAAATATCCAATTAATATCATATTGCCAAACTGCTTCAATTTGTTCGTTTTCACAAGTTCTGCGGTAACTTACTCACCCTACATACTGTCTATTCTAAAGAAATTTTTCAGTATGAGACTCAATTACGATTTTTTTTTTATAAGGTTATGAAAATCTGACACATCTTTTTGTTAATATCTTTCAATTTCACCTTTTTAACTAAACGCCTTATATATTGACTCGGAGGAATTAGTAATTTTCACCCCGATCGACATGTAATTTTCGAGGTTTTAGTTGTTATTACGTAGCTCAGAGTTTTTCCCTTTATTTTGAGTGTTGAACTCATTTGTTGTAGAGCGAATAAATTTTTTTAAAAATTGTATATGTAATCAACTTTCAGAGAAGATGAACAACTATAATGCTATGTGGCTTTATTTTAATGTTGAAAAATATTAACTAATGTAATCTCTATATATTAATTAAGAAGCATTTAATATATAGTTCAAACGAAATGAAACAAAACCAAATAAAAGATAAATAGTTCAAACGAAATGAAACAAAGACAAAAACGAAATATAAGAGCTTCTATATATGAGAAGGAAAGCACAACTGAATTCATTATCCCCTCTCAATGCGGCCGGCTGATCATTATGTCAACGTTGGGTAGACACACTCGTCTCAGCCAGATGGTTGTCCGGTGGTCACTTCAGTACTCTTTCTTGCAGGTTTGAGATTTTCGAGCTTTTCGTCGAATTCCACCATTAGTAAGACTAAGACGTAAATGATTTTGAAAACGAAAACCCGTCTGAAATGCAATCCTGAAACGATTGATCTTTGGAAAAAATGTTGCCTACAAGATGTATATGAAACATGAGTATTTATTTGGAAACGTGAAAACATAAAACTGTGGTGATCGTGAGTGGTGTATTATTAAATTATTTGAGTTTTAATATGATTTTGATGATTTTAGAAAAATTATGATTTGTTGTAAGATCTTGCAAGTCCCACTTAAAACCATGAGATTTAGACCTTTTAAAAATCAGTCACCTAATTGGTATACTGATGGGATAAGTATAAAATCAGTTACAAAAATCAGTTCTCTAATTAATTTCGCCTAAACCGATTAATCCCCACCAAACATTTTTTTTCTTTTTTCTTCAACGTTAGAAGCATTTCAAAAACACATATATAACAACTGACACTTTTTCTTCAATGTTTTAAAGCCTTTAGGCAAAAACCAAAGTCAAATAAACAATTTCATATTTCATATTTGGGGGTCCCTAAATATTTATGAGTACCGGATATATATTTTTCTCTGTTAAAAACCTATAATTATCAATAAGAAAACTTGCCTCTATATCCTTCTGCTTTGACCTAGAGAAAATCAAGAAGCTTAAGCTCCACGCAACAGAGAACAGTGAGTCTCTCCTCGGTAAATCCTGCACAAGTTTTGAGGCTTTATCTGCTTTTGTGTTGAGAGCAAGAACAGTGAGAGCTTATCGAGAAACCCTTAAGTGATGCAGTGGGATTAGTCAGAAGCCATTAAGATGGTCACTGATGGGTACATGAGAGCAAGACCTTCTCTTTCATCGACTCTTCTGACACTACATGGTCAAGATTGGGTTTCCACAAGACAGATTTCGGTTGGGGAGAACCGATTTTGTCCCGTCTAGTAGCTTTGCCTGAGGAGGAAGTGACTCTGTTTTTGTCTCATGGAGAATAAAGAAGAAGCATTAATGTGCTTCCCTTGAACTTTTGCTGTTGCCTGAGGAAGAAGTGACTCTGTTTTCTTATTGTCTTGATTCTGATCTGCTTATGAAACTTGCAGACCGGATGATACCAGTTGTTTTCAGGTACTTTTAAGTTGACACTTCAATTTACAGAAGATTATCCAAACAAACAACCGACTGTTCTTTCTGTTTCTCGGATGTTTCACTTATTTTTGTTTAGTGGTTTAATGGTAAACAGAGAAATTGTGCTTTGCTCATATTTATGTTTAGTGGTTGATCTTTGTCTCTGTTACTTGATCTTTTAGTGACTACCGTTGTCTTGTTCAGTCTATGCAGATGAAAGTATTTGTCTTGACATCTTACAGAACCAATGGAGTCCTATTTATGATGTTGCAGCAATTCTTACATCTATCCAGGTATCCTTCAACTTTTGATTATCCAGATCAATGTAAAACCACTTGATTGTAATAATCAGTTTTACTGTTTTTGTTAACAATTTGCAGTCACTCCTCTGTGATCCCAGCCCAAACTCACCTGCAAATTCAGAAGCTGCACGCTTATTCACGAGAACAAGCGAGAATACAACAGGCGGGTTAAGGAGATTGTGGAACAGAGTTGGAACAGAATACATTAGAACATTTGAAGAATTGGAGGCGATTAAATTGGTAAGAACAAGTGATACATATGTACTGTAATGGTTGGATAAATCTTTTCTGTTTTATGGATTGTTCAATTTGTATTTGTGTTTGTAATTAGTCTCTCCAGTTCAATATAGACTTTGGATTCTATAGTTGATTAAGTTTCAATTTATATTGGTTGGATTTTGTAATCCAATTATAATGTATTGTTAATTTGTTTTTCAATTACTGGTTTTAAATTCCAGCTGAAATCACATGTTCATATGGGTTATGTGTTACAAGCAACGTTTAACTAATTTTCATAAAACATTTCTAATAGTAAACTTTTTATAAAAAAAAAAAACTCAAATCTTAAATAAAACCCTCATACCCTCAAATTTGGAACTCCGTTATAAAATGATACACGATTAGTATGGAAAGTTTAGTTGAAACGAATTGCTTAACTAAGAAACGAAATGACTCACTCATGATAGATCACTAACCACATTACTTATCTTCTTCATGAAAAGGCTCATATGAACTCACCTGAACCGTTGATATCACCGTTCGACAATTAATATAACCTTTCGGTGCCATATGTCACCTAGAGTCCCCCCAAACACTTCAGTGTTCATCAGATTGATTGAATCGATTGATAGATCTTAGACAACAAAGTACTGTGAACAATGAAGCGTTTAAGGGAACTCAAGGGGACATTTGACTCTACATATTATGTCTCTTTTGCTAATGCTTCTTCTCTTACTCACTGACCTTAGTGACAACCCAAACTGCATATTTATAGATACTTCTCCTGTTCTCCATAATATGTATGTTTTTTTTTTTTTTTTTTTTAAGAGAGGGACCATAGATTCTATATTCTCCATTGAATAGCACAACATGCGGGAAATATGAGGATGAACCAAGTCGGAATTTAGGTAATAAGGAGCCAAGAGAATATTTATATCATCATCACTTTCCTACATAAGCACATTCTTCATAAAATAGATTTTGACCCGTAGATTTCTTCAACTCTTTTTTCCCATGTAATTGCGATTTAAATCGAGTTACAAAAGCCAATGTAAACAATAATGAAAGTAACAAATGTTAAAAAATAAGAAAGTATTTTAAGAATGGAACTTCACTATGGTATATTTTAATAATTATATAAACT